GCGGGACGGGTGTCCAGTGTGCCCCGTCCCCCCCCGGGACTGGGAGGGAAAGTGCTGTGGGGGTGCCGAGTGCCCTCTGCCTCAGTGAAATCCATTCTCTCTTCTCGCTAGTGCTGGAGGGAGACAACTGCGTGTTCGATGGGATGATTTATCGCAACGGGGAGACGTTCCAGCCCAGCTGCAAGTACCAGTGCACCTGCCGAGACGGGCAGATCGGCTGCCTGCCCCGCTGTAACCTGGACCTGCTGCTCCCCGGCCCCGACTGCCCCTTCCCCAGAAAGGTCGAAGTCCCCGGAGAGTGCTGTGAGAAGTGGATCTGCGACCCTAAAGACGAAGTGATTTTGGGAGGTTTTGCTATGGCTGGGGAGGAAACTAAAACTAATTAAAACACAGTCATTGTGAGGAGAAGGTGATATCATACTGGAAATATCCATGGGGTTGCCAAATCTAAGACACGTTGCTTTGTGTGGTTGGTTTTTCTGCTTTTTTTTCTCATCTAGAGTCACTAGTAAGTACACCAGTGGTTATGAATAAAAGCAGAGCTCAATAAGTGAAAGAAGAGATATTCAGAGGACGAATGTGCATAGCAATTTTAAAAGGTAGTTAGCTTGAGTTAGTTCCCAATTCTGAAATAGCTGTTTATCTGGTACAGGGTAGTTCAGTATGTGGAATAAAACAGGGGCAAGTTCATAATCCTCCAAACATTATTTCCACCCCCAGATCAAAGATGCAGTCTTGCTAGTTACTCTGCAAGAATATGTTGCACCATAAATACTATTCTAACAGCTTAGTCTACAAGAGACTTTTTTTTTCCCCCCCTTAAATTCCCCAGCTATTACAAGTGGTCAGCATGGTAGCTAAAATGCCAACAAATTCCTTACTGTCTATGCTGGAGCTCTCATCATTATTGTTGGCATCAAAGCATTACAAAGTACTTGGAGAAGCAGTGGTTATAAACACAATGAGTGGATCTGGAAGAAAAAATCCCATTCCAAAAGGCAGAACTCATAAGCTGCTTTTGTAATTGAAAAAATAAAGCTACATAATATTTTCCCCCTGTTTTCTTACTGAATTATGTCACCATCCCCTTTAAATTAGACTATTAGTTCAACGTGAATTTTCATAAGCTACTTTTACTGACAGTTGAGGGCACAGCATTATTTTCCAGTCACTGATCTTTGTGGTCTTAAGCAGTTAGTTATGCTGAAACTCAGCTAATCCATTTGAAAAACAAGTAAGGAAAGATCCAGGAAGAAAAGCTCTAATAACTTGTCATAGTGCTGTGAAGTGTTAGTTGGAAGGCACATAATGTACAAACAAAAAGCTTGCCACCTTTCTACTATTTTTCCTTTACTTTGACTTGTTTGACAGTGACAGGCTAATCCGTAAAATGCCTATAGATGGATTATCTGTATTCTGTCTAGCAATGGCCATCCCTCTTGGGAGGCCACCTTTTTGGAGCTTTCCCATGCAAAAGGCAAAAATGCTGTTCTAGAGGTGCTTAACCACAAGAACTGTGGCTGACAGCTCAGTTGTGTCTCCTCATCCTGTTTATTCCTGTGATAGCCACTGAACCAAACTATACAGTTAGCAATATTTGCATAATGCAGGTTAACACTGCGATGAGGGCAGGGTGATGATAAGAGTTGGCTATGGCTTTGAGTAGCTCTGGTAACTCCTGGAAATTACTTCCGTCCTCTCTCCCCACCATCACTCTGGCTATAATCTGTCAATAATTTACAAGATTGGGTGACTTTATGACTCTCGGAGTAAAGGACTTTACTTCCATGCTCTTTATTAGTTTAGATAAATCATTCGGCCTCTCTCAAATCATATCTAATGTAAATATTTTTATGACATAGCTTTAAAACAGATTTGTGAAGGATTTCCATTGGAAAGAGTGAGGAATGAAGAGTGTATTAGAGTTCTAAATTGGTTAAAAAATTGGCGGTAATTCTTCCAGCTGTGGACTTGAGTGAACTGAATCTAAATGCTTTGCTGATTACACTGATATGTACCTTCTGTTATTTTTAGATGTAGGAAGTTGCCATGCAGGGCTCCTAAAAAGGCAGTTTTTGAAATTCCTAAATCCTGTCAAAAGCATGGATTTTGGACCTTTTTGTCTCACATGTTTATTTCCATATGTGGTAGAGCTCAATTAGATACTGGCTTTTCACATGAGTTTTTCTTATAATACAGTTCTGTGGGGTTTTGTCTCCAGCCTACAGACAGGAGGCCACACTTGGAATCGATGTGTCGGATTCAAGTGCCAATTGTATTGAGCAAACAACAGAATGGAGTGCATGTTCCAAAAGCTGTGGAATGGGCTTTTCCACCCGTGTTACCAACAGAAATCAACAGTGTGAAATGGTGAAGCAGACAAGGCTTTGCATGATAAGACCTTGTGAAAACGAAGATCCATCGGATAAGGTATGCTGCAGAGTGGCGGGGGAGCAGGGTCTCTTCAGCTGTAATTCCAAGGTTGTAATATTAGAATGCTCCAGATGCAAGTGTGCGTAAATACATCCTTTAGCATATGTGCAGCAAGCCCTGTGCTTTTGGAAGGCATTAGACTTGCTGTGTTTGCTTAGTAGCTTTATGCTGCACCTCCAGCAGGTTGAGTGACGTGATTCTGCCCCTCTACTCCACACTGGTGAGACCCCACCTGGAGTACTGTATCCAGCTCTGGTGCCCTTGGCACAGGAAAGACATGGACCTGTTGGAGCGGCTTCGGAGGAGGGCCACAAAAATGATCAAAGGGATGAAGCACCTCTTCTGTGAGGACAGGCTGAGAGAGTTGGGGTTGTTTAGCTTGGAGAAGAGAAGGCTCTGGGGGGACTTCAGTACTTAAAGGGGGCTTATAAGAAAGATGGGGAAACATTTTTTTTATCGAGGCCTGTAGCAATAGGACAAGGGGTGATGGTTTTAAATTAAAAGACGGTATATTTAGACTAGATATAAGGAAGACGTTTTTTACAATGAGGGTGGTGAAACGCTGGCACAGGTCTCCCAGAGAGGTGGTGGATGCCCCATCGCTGGAAACATTCAAGGTCAGGTTGGACCGGGCTCTGAGCAACCTGCTGTAGTGGAAGGTGTCCCGGCTCATTGCAGGAGAGGTTGGACTAGATGAACTTTAAAGGTCCCTTCAAACCCAAACTATTCTATGATTCTACGATAATTTGAGCCATCCCAAACAGATATATGGCATGTGCAGATTATTGTGGCAGGTCATGCAGTCTAACTCCTCCCACAAATGCAATTGTACTACCTGTATGTACACGTCAGTGTTGCTCCAGTCATGCAGAATGAGTATGTCAGATTTGTAGTCTGTTGAGCATCTGGAACTGCAGAGAAATGTGTGAAATCCTGCAAAATCTGCTTGGGTAAATTAAAGTATCTTAATCCCTATGATGCCTTTTCCAAAAGCAAATCCAACACTGACATTTCAGGTGTAATAAATGTGTATCTAAGGGAGCTGACTTTTTTGCTGCTTCTACACATTATACAAGTGTTACTGTCAGAGAGAATAACGTGTAGCTAGGTAAGAGGACCATCACTTCGTGTTATGTTCTGAGTGTTGGAAAACATTGCTAAAGCCTTTGCTGAATACTCTCTGCAGTTTTAAATACTGTGTTTTGAAAAGGATATGAAACATTTGGGAAGAGTTGGGGAGAGTAACAAGAATGATCAAAAGTCTAGAAAATGTGCTGCTAGGGAAAAATTGATTGAACTGAACTTTTTCTGAATGCATGAGAACAGAGATGCGTTCTCATAACTGTGTTCAGGTATCGCAGCCTGTTCTGAGTCCATGGGGGATACAACAGGAAATAGACTGCATAAAAACTAAGACAGGAGTGAAAAACTTCCAAGCAGTAAGAATAGCGAACTGTTAGGATTTTCTGGGGCAGATGTGGCGTCTCTGTCACAGCAGACTTCCAAGGACAAGTTAGACAACCATCTGTTAAGAATAACATGGGTAAAGCTGGTTCTGCCTTGGGTCACAAGAATGGGCAATGACTTTTGAGGTTCGTTTTACCTCTCTTTTTTTCCCCTGAATCTAGTCATGTAACTTGCTCATTTGGCTTCTCTGATGGAACTACACTAGCCTGAGAATTTTTCCAGTAGAGTATAGTTTCATAATAAATGTTGGTTTGGCTTGTCTCAGATGACAAAAGGGGGCATTATTTGTCATTTATTACTGACCCAGTAACACACTGGTGTCAAAGGGCAGATCTTGCAGGAGTTACCCGTAAGTAACTACTGAAGTACTGCTGTTGAATGAGCAAAGACGACAAATTTGAGTTTTCAGTGTAGAGCTATATGCTTGCATGTCAATTTTTAACTACCTTCTGACTTCTGCAGTGATGTGTCTAACATCTTTTCCTATTTCTGTTAGAAGGGAAAGAAATGTATCCGAACAAAGAAGTCCCTGAAAGCTGTTCGCTTTGAATACAAGAACTGCACTAGTGTGCAGACATACAAACCTCGTTACTGTGGCCTCTGCAGCGATGGGCGATGCTGTACCCCACACAACACCAAAACGATTCAAGTTGAGTTCCACTGTCCTCAAGGCAAAGTCCTAAAAAAGCCAATGATGTTGATCAACACCTGTGTCTGTCATAATAACTGTCCTCAGAGTAACAATGCTTTCTTCCAGCCATCAGATCCAACATCTAGTGAAGCCAAAATATGAAAAGCATAAATTAGGTAACAGAAAGGTATAAGTAGTTTATACAAAACTTGACCCACAATCAGGTGAATGTAACAACTGCATATGTAAAATATCATAAGATGTTTTTCAAAACAGTCTAGGCTCTTTCTTTTTTCCCGTAGTTTATTAAATACCTCATTTTACAATTTCCCCCTCCAGACATCTTTTATTCACTTGAAGGAGATTTTGTACCTTGGACAGAGCCTTCTTTTTTTCTTGATGGTGGCATAAAGATTACAAAGCAAACAGCTCGTCTTTCTCCTTGAGTTAAGGGGATCATGCCATGAGCCTCAGTAGCTGTAAAGACTGGGCTCTTTACGAGTAAATGGATTCCTTGGGAATGCATGATACCGTATTACAGAAGCTTCCAGATTCTTAACTTCACTTTACATAATGCTTATAAACACTTAAGCAGTGTTCGTTTTCCATTCTGCTGAAACTCAATTTCTGATGACAGTAAAAATCTTACTGATTAAAGTGTTGCATTCTTGTGTCTTGTAAAATATCTTCTATCTGTACCTCTCTGAGGATTAAGTTTGCACATAGCCCCTGAAATGACATAGCTAAGGTCTCTTATCCTGAAGCATGGCAGATTGATAACTGACAGCAATTAAATGTCTCTTTGGTAACTTCACTAGCAGTCTAATCCAAAACCCACTGAAGTCAGCGTCTTAGAAGAACAATGTGTGTCTGTAGATATAACTATTTTGATGCAAAAATAAAATTTCTGTAAATTCCTCTAAAATACTAACTGTATCATATGGTGCTTCATTTCTTAGAAAGGTGTATATGTAAATAGAAACTGTATATATTGTAATATAACTTTACTAAGTAAATAAACTTAATGTGATTCAAAATATTTTCCCCTAAAGTTGTTTTTTTAAACTACCGACTTTTAACACCTAAAAGCAGTGGTAAGAAAAAAGGGTCTGCAGACTCCGAAAATCAAAAGTCCCTATCTAATGACGTTCTTAGTGTACCTCATCCTAATTGCAGTGTCTTGGTGCAGGAAAGGATGAATAATTTGTGGGCCACACATTAGCAGGTAGGTTTCTTTCAGAGCAAGGTAGCCTGGCAGAAAGAATGACGTAAATAAAGTTAGGTTTGGACACGGTGTATCCTGTGGGTGGTTGTGGTGGGGAGGAACAATTATTTGATCTGGAGTTTTGTGTTTGGGTCCGAAGTACTAACGAAGTATTTAATTGTGCCTTGCAGCATTTCTGCCCCATGAAAGCAGCCTGTGACCCTACTTGTGCTAGATACTGTATGGCAATATCCCCAAGGAATATAGAGCCCGAGGGTGGCAGTTTCACAGGTGTTAAATCATGTATGTAACAGGATTGTGCAAACAGGTCGTAAGTACAATTGTGCAGACATTCAGCTGCCTCGTCTGTGGGCCCAGGCTTAGCTCGGTGTGTGTCTCTCTCTGTTAGAGATATCAGAGTAGTACTTACGCCACAGCCATTCTAGAACTATGTGATAGGAGACAGCCCTCTCTAGAGAAAAGAGGTAGAAGGCCAAACTCAGCATATTTGGCCCAGGGTCCTCCATCTCTGGAGGAGCTAGCAACCTCCGGTTTGGCAATTCTTGAGATTCACAGAGGGTAGAATTCAGCTCCAGATTAATTGGTGTCTACATGTAGACATATAAATGCCCATTTTTGCCAGTGGAGCCCAAAGTAAAGTTAACAGTAAGCAAGTGTCTACAGCTGAAGTTTTTTATTAACTGTTAAGTCATCCTTGAAAGTATGAGGCCCTGGTGCTAAAACTCATACTGGTTCAGTTAAGTTAGATAGATTTTGGGTCCTCACCTGGACTCTAGCATGGCTTTCCCCACTAACTGTGCCAATGATGAATTTCTTTGTAGTCATTGCTATTGTTATCAACACATCCCTGCCTGCTTCATGCTGTTCAAACAGCTGGAACAAGGCTAGTCTTAGCCCTCATCAGGCACGTGCTCATGCATACGTGCACACCCCCTGCCCTTGCACTGGTTAATGCCTTATCACAGAATCACAGAATGGTTTGGGTTGGAAGTGACCCTTAAAGGTCATCTAGTCCAACCCCCCTGCAATGAGCAGGGACACCTTCCACTACAGCAGGTTGCTCAGAGCCCCATCCAACCTGGCCTTGAATGTTTCCAGGGATAGGGCATCTGCCGCCTCTCGGGGAGACCTGTGCCAGTGTTTCACCACCCTCATTGTAAAAAAATTTCTTCCTTCTATCTAGTCTGAATCTATCCTCTTTTCATTTAAAACCATTACCCCTTGTTGTATCGCTACAGGCCTTGATAAAAAGTCTGTCTTCATCTTTCTCATAAGCCCTCTTTAAGTACTGAAAGGCTGCAATAAGGTCTTGCCATGAGCCCTCTCTTCTCCAGGCTAAACAGCCCCAACTCTCAGCCTTTCCTCACAACAGAGGTGTTCCATCCCTCTGATCATTTTTGTGGCCTCCTCTGGACCTGCTCCAGCAGGTCCGTGTCTCTCTGACGTAGAGAGTTCATAAAGTTCTTCCTGGTTTTGCACCCCAGCAATCTTATGTGCTAGGAAATGCCGAGTGCTGGAGGAGCAGGCTGGAATCTAGGAGAAAGGGAAGAAGGATTATTTAAAACTACTTTCACCCTACATGTCTATCTGCACCTCCCCCCCC